ATATATATATATACACACACACACACACACACACACACACACACCGCATAACACTGCATATAATATTTGTTGCCAGAGAATCTATAGTTGAACTCAATGTATTTAACCATAAATCTAACAACATTTATGACAAGAACAGGAAAACGGGGGAAAACTGTAACTAGAGTTGAAAAACGAAGAAAATGTTTTAGCAGTGCACAATGTAACATTGCATAATATTATGAAATCCTGTAAGTAGTAAAGCATTTTCATTTTAAGATATAATAGTCTTATTTTATCAGATAGAAGAATGCTTTTGGTAACACTTTAGATTAGGGACACACTCCTAAATTGCTGCTAAATAATAGTTAGTAAGCTAGTCGTTAAGTTAGGAGGTATGGGGTGGATTAAGGGATCTAGAATATGATCATGCTGAATAAGAGAGTAATATGTGCCTAACAGGTACTAATAAAGAGACAATATGCTAGTAATATGCATGCTAATAAGCTACTAGTTAATAGTAAGATTTGGTCCTTAAAAAGAAAGTGTTACCATTCTTTTATACACACTAGATAATTGTTGACTCATGACTCATTTATGACTAATGTAGATCCTCCATTTTGTTTTATTACTTTTTATTCCGTTCATTTCACACAATAATTAGTTCATTCACCTATTTGCTTACTCATTTGTTCGTTCGTTCGTTCATTCATTTATTCATACATTGCACGCACATTATTAAAACACTACTTAAAACAATATAATCACAGAATATATAAATAAACGTTTTTATGTATGAAAAAACACATTTATATGAATAAAACGGTAAATAAATAAACATATGTTGGGCTACCATGTCATCAAGAGAGAAATCAAAATCACAGCGGATGAAAACAAAGTCAAATGAACAAATGTGCATGGTGCTCATGTTAACAGTGCGAGAGCTGTAAGATCACAATGCCATCATGTGCCTAGCAAGCATACTCATTTAGGCTAATCAAAGCGTGTGTGTGTGTGTGTGTGTGTGTGTGAGAGTGTGTGTGTGTGTGTGTGTATGTGTGTGAGT